GGTGTGACGGGGATTCGAACCCGCGATCCGCAGATTGCGAGTCGAGTGCCCTAACCACCTGGCCATGCCGGGCCAATAAAGAAATATCAGCCTTACTCAAAGTGTCTTTATGATAACTGTAGAAGATTTGGTAACACATAGGTGTAATTTAACATTAATACGAGCACATGGACTGATGACGTTTTTACGTTCTGAACAACTCCACCTATATTGATTCCCTTGCTGTATTGATACTTAAATTACATATTTTTATTTTAAAATCGGAGTATTCTAACATAAGTATCGTGAATGCATCTTAACATTACTGATATTTCTATATCGCTAAACTGTTTTCAATACTATACGCTTTGCATAAAGCTAGGCCTAACTCATATTTATGGTACAGTACGAATCGTATTTGTTCACGATGTTACCAAGTAAATTTGTATGGGAGAGAAATCAGGGTTAAGACTGTAACACCCAATTAAAAAAGTCAAGGAACAGGATATCGAGATTCCTGTGGTCAAATCCAACAAAAACTGAGGAAAATGAGAAGGTTGTTGTCCAAATCGATGCAATGTGATCGTGAAAACAACTCATAAAGGTTGATAAACATAATATATTTAGATAATGTTTATAATTTATTTCACTTATTTTTAAAATAGTATTAGAAAGATTAAGATAATTAAGATTCGTTGATATGAACAGCAGGCCCCTTCTCTGCTAGTAAAAATGTTCTTAAAATAATCGTAATTTATCGTTACATTATTTTACACTGTTATTAGAAGGCCAGATGGATATCGGTGATAAATATTTACTGTCATGAGCTTAGACCACGTGTTAGGTTGCTTGTCAAATATCGTCCACACCAATTTTTTTTTTTATTTTTTTTTTTTTTACAATGATGAATGTGCACGAAGAAATAATGCATTCAATAATGTTTCTGACAAAGACACGCAGAAGAAAACCAAACAACAAAGAAGGAACAAACGCTCACTGAGGAAAAAACAGGCTGCTAAAAGACTAGGGTAACACTCCGAGTAAAGCTATTTCCAAAATTAAAAACAGTTTATTCAGAAACATTATTTAGTATGTTGTATATTTATATGGCTGGGATAACAAACTCCAATACATGTCTTTAATAATGATATCCATTTACATGGCTTCGACAAAAATATCCAATTACAGTGTTTAGAAAACAATATCGAATAACGTGGTTTGAAAACAATATCCGATTACACGCCTATATAACAATATTCAATTAAATGGAGATCTGAAGCAATATAAAACCACACATAGCAGCATCTGAAACAATATAAAACCACATGTAGTAAGATCTGAAGCAACATAATGTTAAAAACAGCAAAATCTGAAGCTATATATAACCATAAACAACAAGATTTGACTTTTATAAAACTACCAAGAGCTAGATCTGAAGTAATATAAAACCACATGTAGTAAGATCTGAAGCAACATAATATCAAAAACAGCAAAATCTGAAGCGATATATAACCATAAACAACAAGATTTGACTTTTATAAAACTACCAAGAGCTAGATCTGAAGTAATATAAAACCACATGTAGTAAGATCTGAAGCAACATAATGTCAAAAACAGCAAAATCTGAAGCGATATATAACCATAAACAACAAGATTTGACTTTTATAAAACTACCAAGAGCTAGATCTGAAGTAATATAAAACCACACATAGCAGCATCTGAAATAATATAAAACCACATGTAGTAAGATCTGAAGCAACATAATGTCAAAAACAGCAAAATCTGAAGCTATATATAACCATAAACAACAAGATTTGACTTTTATAAAACTACCAAGAGCGAGATCTGAAGCAGTAATAGAACCTTCTAATTAGACTTCTGAAGAAGGTAGCAAAAACAGTTTATTAAAGAGAGGTTAAAGTTATATTCTCTCACCTCCCACTGCATCTTGTAGATCAGACTATGAGGTTCTTGTGTTTGGGTACATATTAAAAAAAATCTCGTTAATCAGTAAAATTATTCTAGTTAATGTTAAAGCTTCACAGTTAATTTGTAAAAAAAAGGAACCGTGGAACTTTTGTGTTATATGCATCTTTGACTAATGTCTTGAAGAAATATATATTCATTACTGCCTAATATGTAATAAATATTGATCAGATTCCGACAGTGGTATACTATGGTGTTTTAACATCAAAAATGTTAAAACATCGGTAAATAAGAAACAGCTTTTACTAGCGAGGAAGGAATTTGTAGAATCCATGTTTTCGTCATAAACACTGTCTAAAAGTAGAACGTGTTCGATTTAAAATGTAAAATTATAGACTCTGAAAATTTGAAGTAAATATCACTACTTTACTGAGAATCTAAAACATATTGTTACGACAGCGGAAGTCACGTGACGCTAGTAACACGTCATGAGCTTCTAGAAAATTCATGTCCCTTCG